CTCGTCATATTTGGAAAAATGTAATTGCACCCTTTTAAAGTAAAGCTAAAATCTAGATATGGAGGCAAGCCGTAAAGAAACATGAAATAGCTGTAGTTAGAGGGTTCATGCATAACAGTTTTGGCTTGTTAAAAAGTAGTTTTATTGTAAGGAAATCTTGAAGTAATGTGAGCATAATAACAGTTTTAAGTATGAGATTTATCTCTAGAGTCAGTTCCTTAAAGGCAATGGCCTGATATGCAGACATTACTCTACTCTGTAGTCAATAAAACCATAATCATTCCCATTATCACAGCCTCCAACTTTATCTCTTTATACCATGTTTTCATGCTGAAAACGTTCCAAATTCTTGCTCACTTGTATGTTACCATGAACTTTGTGTGACAGAGAAAGAAATGCAAACCGGTTACCTCCACTCTTGCCATGGCAACGGACGCGACAAGAAAAGCGATCCTGTACCTGTGTATCTGTCTCCCTAATGGTCTGTGAGTTAGTGTAACAAGATCTGTAAAAACTCCCCTCTGTGACATTTTAGATCCCCCACTGTAACTGACCTGGGCTGGGGAGTCACAAGTAGGATTTAGGCGAGTACTCAGGCCTCTCTCAGGTTCCTGCTCCCCTTTTCCTAATGAATGCAACCATAAGAAGACTTGAGATGAGGCTACTTTTTCCATATGGCCTGGATATTATTTACTGTTGTAGGACTTGTATTCTACTTGCACACTCTCATTAATAAAAAATAAATAAAAAACTTTTCCTACATATTAGATATTTCTAGAACCTCCTCTAAATGGATGCCATTTCCTGTTTTCAATATAAGAAATGAGACTATAATGTGTTTATGCCCTTTGTTTGAGAAGAATATGTGAGGTGATTGCTGAAGTGTCATGCGTTATTGTACCTTGACGCTTCATTGCTGGACTGCACCACATAAACCACTCCTAACTCTCCTATTCCCTCTGCTGGGAAAGGCAGATATTACACACCCTAAACAGAGTGCAAATTTTGACTACAGCGATTATTTTTATTTTAAGTATCATCTCATTTGTAGACCAAGATGACACACACTGGGTCAACGCTTAATTCCAGTATGCTGCTTTTTTAGAGAAGGCCTGGTCTAGGTAAGAGCTGACACCTCTCTGTAAGAAATATCAACGTGAATGGCTCGCTCCCAAGTTTGGTGTCATTCATCGGCACAAATGCCAAACCCATTATCCCAAAATCTTTTAGTGGTTTTGTCCATCTGGTGGCAGAAGTGGTAGACTTTTTGAAAAAGAGGGGAGATTTTGTCAACAGTATTCAAGGCTTTTGAAGAAGCTTATTCTCCCTCAGGGCAAAGGAACTCCATTTTCAGTTTACCTTATAAATAACTTTGTAAACATCCAGTTTTCAATTTTGGGTTGCACGCCCTTAACTTTTAGCTGTGTGTGTGTGTGTGTGAGAGAGAGAGAGAGAGAGAGAGCACAAGTGAAGGAGGTGAAACTTGCCTTAAACCTCATAAACATGGTACCTTGTGCTCAGTGGGGCAGTAATGGAAGTGTGAATAAACATACAGTATTTATGTTTTCAACCAACTGCCTCTAAGAATATTGAGCATCAGCTGGTAGTCTGTTCTTTCTTTCACTCCTGAAATAAAGAGGTTTTAACCATTGTTCTTTTGGCCACATCTTTCTCATGATGTGACAAAAGATTGCTGTGACAAGTGCTACACACTCCAGCAAAGGACCAGTTTGCCTCCTGGTTGCTTGTGTCGACTGTTTCAATAAAAGCCAGCCTACTTTGCTGTTTGTATTTCTGTTTTTTGTATTGAATAGCACAACAGGCAAGTTCATTATGCGTGTGAGTCATCCCACTAGCCCACACCCCCTCCCCATCTGTTGCTGTGCACTGGAAAGGAGAGGGAACCGCCATTGATCACTTCTTCCCTCACACATGCACGCACACACCCCACCTTCAACGTCACTATCGATCGACATGTTTAATGTTTTTGTGGGGAATAGCTGGCATTTCCTTTTGAGTCATTTTACCATTTGCTGACATTATAATAAATAACAGTGCAGAAATTAAAAAAGTAAAGCATAATCCAGCCAATTATTTAAACAATCAGACTTTTAGTCAGTGTGGGATTGTGATATATATACTTTTTATTTTTATTTTTTTAGAAGCGGTGGCAGTCAGGAAATATATAGAGAAATATTCCTGGACAGGAGACGTTTTCTGCTTTACAAGTGTTTTTCCATGGATGCAGCTGAGTTAACAGCTGTGACTACCATCAAAGATGCTGCAGAATGGTGGAAGGATATTTCCTTGATAAAACATTTTCCCACTCCCTCCCTCTCATATATGATTAATAAATAATGTTTCCCATTTAAATACTTGTAACACACTATAACATTTGCACAGATAGGAATATCCTGAAGTAGATTCTTACACATTTTGAGCATGCTTTATTTGAACATAAAACATGATTCTCAACCTTGTTACTTATAAGTCAGAGTTCTCATGTATCAGTTTTGTGGCAAACAAGAAGTTACTTCTCTACATAAACTAAAGATCTATTGGTAAGAAATACATCAGAAATACGGTGCCTTTAAAAATTACAATTCTGACTACAAACTATAATAATCTCTTTGGTGATAAATTATAAGATTCACAGTGCTTGTCAAAAATCATTGTAACTACTAGTGGATTTTTATGTTGCATGAACTATTGAATATTTTCTATTTGTTATAGGTTGGCTAATATATAGCTAGCTAACAGTATTATTTTCATCAAGGCATTTTCTGTTCTTTTTGACATTTTTGACTTAGCATGTGACCAGGAGACAAAGCTTGAAAGCGAGTGTCCCAGCAACAGCAAAAGAGTTGCCTGGTAGTGTACAGTAGGTTTACATGGCTTCCTGCAGCAAAAATTATAGTAGTGGTTATGCACTGAACTTGAAATAAAGAGCACCTCCACTAATACTGACTGACCTGACATTCAACATGAGCATGAACTCGCTACTAAAAGTTGTAAATTCACATCTAAGCACAAGTAAAGTGTTTATGAGATGACTCCCATCAGGATCAGTCTGATTCAGCTCACTCTTCTGTAATTAATTAGAGCAGGATGTTGCAATATCAGAAGAAGGTGGAAGCTGAGGCCTGTACCACATAGGTTAGTCGCAGTGTGGAAGGAGTGTGAAATATGTTCATGGATTCTCGTATTGATGGGGTTGGCATCACTAGTGCTGCATTCATGTCATTTGGAATACATACAGTGTATATTGCCTATTAGACAGGTGGTCAGTGTGAAAGACTTCCATCAAGATGGTGGTATGATTACTGAGTTGGTCGTGTGAGAATTAAAATACTAGGAGTTAACTAACACCATACGCATCGCATTTTGGTTCAGTTTCCTAGTTGTAATTATGATTTAAAAATTGATGTGAACTTTATTCGCAAGTTGGACATTTGTAATTACGGCAACTCTGATACAACATGAACACAGCGTTACCACGAAACAGTTGCCTTATGCTGCTGGAGATTAAACTGATGAGAGCGGTGGGAGTGAACCAAAGTTCAGTAAAGCTGTGAAACTGAAACAATGGGCTGAAGGAGCTGAAAGGCTCCATAGAGCTGAGGGGGACTGCAGACTGTCTGTGATCATTCTCTGTGGGTTTGTGACAACAAGCAACACGTTTCACATTACACCTAGTCATTTGAATTACTGGTCATATAAAAATAGAGATTAGAACAGCTTAAAATGATTCTAGATATTGACTTTGAAATAATAATATGTTTAGTTCTGATGAAGGTTGAACCTGCCAAATTTAAGAACTAAGGTTACATTCATATTATGGGCCTTAGCGCTCAATTCTGATCTTTTTGTCAGATCCAGTCTTTTTGTGTTCATGATTCACATTCATGTTTGTGCATCCAGTTCCATGTGTGAACACTGAGGTTCTGAACTGCCACACAAGCACAGTTTTAACTTAAATGCGAGTTGTGTGCTTACAAGAAGAACATTGTCATTTGTGTAACTGTCAAATTGTGCAATTTCCTCAAAAACTACTGGGTTACGATATGTTCCTTCCAGTAAGGCTTGATCAAAAACCTTCTCTGTAAAGGTCTAACAAAAGTGAAACATTCTCATCTCTCCAGTGACTATGTAACTTTTTTCAGTTATTTTTGTTGTAGAAATGTGCTCCAAAATTTGACTTAAGGTGGCGAGGTGCTGTCTAAGCCTCCTGTGACCCAGGCTCATTGAGCAGCACTTGCAGCAGTGCTGAGATATAGACTTCAAAAGGTTTTGAGCGGGATCGACCTCTCTAACCAATCAGAGATTTTAAGTTATTTCTGCTTGGTCATTAAGTGTTGTTGCATTCTCATTTATTGTAATTTCATAACAAATATGTGAAGAACAGGGCGGAGCATAGTCGATTGTAGTAGAGCACAGTGGAGAGGGAGCAATGGGTGGAGCAGAGTGGACTGATTTGGAGTGTCATGCTAGTGTTACTTTAAGTTACATATTGTAGCTTTAATTCTTGTTTTACTGATGTAAAAGAACTTTTAACCTGTTTGCCTCTCATACAGACTGGGTAGCTATTAGGGAGAATATTGTACTAATATATCGAGTAAGTTTCTACATTGCGTATTTTATCAGTCCAGTCATGTTTTGTAGTAGTACCTTGGAGTCAATAGACAAGGTACTGTGTAAATGTACTGTTAGGCACATTACACAAAGACAACTTTCTCTATCAGTTTTATATGTATATTCAGGAAATCTACTTGAAACTTTCAGGCCAGTCCACAATCTTGAATTAACTGCAGCTTTAATATTGACATAAAGAACCTCAATATAAGACAGATTCCATAAAATTGATTTAAAAGGACAATGGCCAGCATCACTTAAACACTTAAATGAAGAACTAACAGTGTGATGATAAGATGATGATGAATCATGTATATGGAGTCCTGTTGTGAGAAGAATGTGTTGTTTTCTTGCTTTCTCACACGTAGGTGGTCCTGGACATGACATTTGGAGGTGGTGGTCATACCAAAGCGATACTGAATATGGTTCCTGAAGCTACAATCCTGGCCTTAGACCGAGATCCTACAGCAATTTCTTTGGCCCGGCAGTTAGCCAAGGAACACCCGTAAGTGATTTATTGAAAAAGATCAGCTAGACCAAAGCATGAGTTAAAGCTTAAAGCGACAAGCTGTCTAGACAAATGTTTGTAGTATATCATGGATAATGTTTTATCATAATTTTTTATTGCTATAGTTGACAGTTTGACCATTTTGAGCAGTGTTTGGTTTGGGGTCATTATTTTTTAAATCATGCTGAAGGTGTGATAAAGTATCGCAGTTCTCCCTGTTTTTCTCACTTCTTGCCTGAGCCCGATCAAATGCTGCTCAGCAAGATACAGCACCTGAGTTTCACCATCCAATCAAATCCATTCCTCCTTCTTAACTTAAAGCTTTTCTCCCCCCACGCAAAGCTGGTGGGCTCGGCATGTCATTTGTCAGAGTAAGGGCCCACGCCTGCAGTGTGAGGGAGATGCTGCCTCCCACGGAGGATCTATAAGATATGAGGGAGGGGGCGGGAAATAGAGAGAAGCCCGGAGAAGTTAAAAAGTGGAGAGAGAGAAAAAAGAAAATGAAAATATGAGGGTGAGAGAACAGGGAGACACAAAGACACAATGCCAGGGTGAGAGGGAGTGTGTGTGTGCATGAGCGAGGCGCGGGTGGATGAAAATGAGATGTTCCTAAGACCATAGCGTGGGAAGGAATCCTTTTACGTAGATTCTGGGGAAACCTCTCTCAAGGGAATCTGCCGCAGAAACGTGCCTGTGAGCAGGGAATGACAATTAAGACAGAGTGAGAAAGAGAACACTGTATTCTGTCAGTAGCAATATACCGCTGCTGTAAACTCTTCCATGCCTACTTGTGATGCAAGTTAAGAGAAGCTAGAGAAATCTAGCAATTAACCAGTGTTATTGGAAGCCTGAGTAAAAGACCCTGGCAGCCTACGCAGTGCATCCACACAAAAGGTTTAGAGGAATTTCTGCTGTACTCCCATGTCTTGGGTAAAGTATAACCTCAGTGCAAACTGTTGAGTGTCGCTGTGAATCTGAACCCAGTTTTACAAAAAGAATCATTTCACCTCATAATGGATATTTAAAAGCATTAGCTTATCAAAGTAACCCTCTGTTCCTTGAGTGATTTTCACCAATGTTTGTAATGGGATTTCTTTCCTGCATGTTGGACTTTGCTATTTTTTGCTTTTCACCATTCTTGTTGTTGCTATGACTTCCCTGCAATTGATGCTCCACAGTAGCTGTGCCCACAATGAATGTTATAAATCTGAAAAGGCACCAAGCATTATTGAAAAGCCAAATCAAAGGCAAACGTGTGCATGTGCGCACACACAGCTTGATGCAATATTACCTGTTTGCATGCAAACTTTGGTACATGAAGCATAGTTTAATTTACCTGGTCATATTTCTTTCTTCATTTATTGAAAAATGTTTGTGTTAATAGCCTGTTTATTGTGTCTTCCTGTGTTGTGCGTGTATGTAGTGGCTGACACTATTCTGAATCTAAAACCAGCAGTGTTAAACTGACCTAATGTATTTGAAGCCATTTCTAATTCTACCTTAAAGCTACAGTATGCAACTTTTTTCCAAATATTTTTGTCGTAGAAATACTGTTCCAAAACTTGTCTTAATGCGAAGAGATGCTGTTCTTCTTCTTATAAAAGGTTTTTAGCGGGATTGAGTGGTGAAGTGTACCAGATTGTATTGGGGCAGGGAGAGGGAGTGCTGAGTGGAGCAGAACAGACTGATATAGAGTTTCATACTAGTGCTACCTTTAAGTTACATACAAAGCAAAATCTACAAGCAAATCTACAGTTCAGACATTGGTTCCCATAGTGAGGATGTAATATTTTGGCACTTCAGTGAAAATCTAACATGATGATTTCATGTAGCCTGACTGTGTTTACATTAGCCTGTTTTTGGCAGAGGGGTTCTTTCATTTTGTTTTGTCCAAACTGATCAGTAGCATGTGATAAAACTGTCTACCTATGTAATATTCAGTTGATACACTGGCAAGGAGCAGTTATCTCATACTCTTCATAATGATTGACAAAATATGCCATTTTAGAAGTTATTACTGAGTCTACTTACATCAGCTTGTATAGCTGTATCAATCACTTCAACACTTATTGCCATTTTTTGACACAATTTGTTATGTAGGAAGGAGACAAAGCCAAAGTCTGCTGTAAAACAATGCAGACAGCTGTGTTAATGGGGGTATGTTGTACCAGAAGAAGACCTGAAATTTGATCCAGGAAGTCTAGTTGGTGTAACATAAAAATAATTAAAGGCTTATCAGATTCCAAAACAGTGCACAGTGCTTAGTAATACTCACAGGCAGGATTTTACCACCCTGGAAAGTTATCATGCTGGCAAGTATACGCTGATCAGCCATAACATTATGACCACCTACCTACAGTAATACTGTGTACACAGGGGTCAGTGCAGCAGTTTGCTGGCTCTCGTGAGCTCACCATCCCGATTAGGTTTGTGATGAGGACTGGCTAAATTGCACACTACAGTAAAAATGTTCTTAATATTACAACATACAAGACCATCAATTCTAATTAGCTGAATTCTAACCTGAATCATTCAGTCATTGAAAACATAATTAATCTGGGGCACAATATTTCCTGTAACTGTTGAGAAACAAATTTTTGAATCAGGAAATAAAGACGTTAAGATTAATTTGTAGTAGCAAAATAGCAGGGAAGCTTTGACAACTTTTCTAGGAGATGATTGCAAAGCTATCAATAAGTTAATAGCTGTTTAGATACTTGTAGTTTTTTTTTTTTTTTTTTAAATAAGCAGGTTTTTTTTTTTTTTTTGATAATTAATGCTTTAGGTCAGCTGAGGTAGTTCAAATTCAAAATTTGAACAAAACGTGTTATAAAGACTACCTTGTGTGTTTGTTTGTTCCAGGTTTGAGGCCTCTTTCTTTTTTTTTTCTTCTTCTTCTTCTTCTTCTTCTTCTTCTTCTTCTTCTTCTTCATGGACTGTAGATATTTTCATCGCCGCTCCCCTGCTGAAAGCAATCAATCAGCATCTTGTCTTAGGCTTCAGTGACGCAGGTAAAGGAACTGAGCAGGTCAACACTAGGGAATATTTCAGGCTTGATTTATGAAGAGGCAGCATCATGTTGAATGAGCATGTGCCCAGACTGAGGCTGCTGTCAAGGTTCCTGATGTCCTCGCTGAGTGTACTCTGAGTGTACTCATTCCACTTGGACAAGAACGGGTGAATACAAGGAAATATTTAGTCAGGGAATTGTTTGTGAGGAAGTATGGAAGTGTAGCCAAGTATTATGTTTTATGAAAAATAAATTATATCTTAATTGACCCTCATAGTTCATTACCAACTTTGGAAATTACAGTTAAGATAATCTAGACATTTTTAAGAAGCAGTGGCTAGATGCTCCAACAAATATTTCATTAAGTCACTTGGTGCTCAGCCTTTCTGTCAAAATGTCCTTATAGTGGAATTAAACCTTACAGTATCTGTGTATTGTTTTGGCAGGTTCAAAGCAGCCTGTAGCCTGAAAAGGACAGCTGTGGGAAGCGTTGTGCACCTGTGACTTGGCACAAACCAAATAGCCATGGTTTAACATTTGTTAGTCATCCTGCAAAAGGCAGAATACCTAGCAATAGTGGACGCATTTTAGCCATCTGAATTATGGAACAGCAAACAGAATCTAATGTCACATTAGAACTAGAGCACATAAGAACACTTCTTGGGGGGGGAAACCCTCTATCTTGAGCTCTCTTTATTTACTTCCAAAAGAAATCAGCAGAGACAGATTTACCACAATATGACAGAACAGTTGTAATGTTGTTTTTTTCCCCTTAATCACAGAAAATGTGCTTATTATAGCAGAAAATATAAAAATATCTTGAACATGATTTCAGCATGATTTACTGTGTTCAGACAGAATGTGAGGGGGCTTTACAAGTATGAATAGATACAAAGTGGAATAGAAAGACACGATTAGACACAAATTTGCAGGGGGCAGTGCGACTCGACGCAATAACGTTTCCAGTTTGTAAATGGTTCAACTTAAGCTAAAAATAAAACCATACTTATCCTGAGGGTTTCATAAACATCCAGAAACAAGAGATAAAAGAAGGGAAATAACAAAAAGAAGTGAAGTTTCTGGAGAGTTCTTAGATCAGTCGGAGGCTGAGCTGAACAGAAACACACAGATACACTCCTTGACGTGTCTCTTTCTTGCTAGCTTACAGCTAAAATCTATACATTCGGTTGCCTGAGACATATTAACATGGACGTTGCACATTGTTGTTGTTTTACTTTCCATCTGAATACTCCTCAATGGTTAACTAGGTTTTGGTTTTGGATGATAAATCAAAGCACTGAATTTATTTATTTTAGATCAAGTGATGGTGCTAAATGAGATCTTAAGGTATCCCCAAAGATACGGGTGCTAGAAGAAAAGTCAGAGGATCACCAAAGTCATTAGGATTCATCATGGTTATTAGTGCCAACATTTCCTGGCCATCTATCAAGTAGTTGTCATTTTGAATGGTAATACAGTAGTTACATAAGATAAAACAGTTGAAATGTCTGGGCAGTGGTGGACCATGATGTCAGTACCAGGGAGTGCTATAGTTATACATGACTCTGATCACTCGAGTAATTATAGGGCCACACTTGAACCTCAGCACATACACCACTGAAACGTATCCTCTTTAATAATATACGTAAGACCTTACATAAGGTGTGTATACTGTATCTCCAACTCTGTGTGTAAGCCACATACAGTAAAGCAGTTAATAATTTACAAATGTTATGTAACTGTTTTGCATATTTTTAATCCTTCACTGGCTTACAAAACATGTTGTAGAAGAGATCGCAGTGTTTAGTGGAAGGTTCTTCACCTACGTGTGGGCGGACACATAGACTTCATTATTTTATTATTCACTAATTAAAAAGTAGACATACTTTGTATATAATTTAAATGCAGTTGATTACAAGCCTTTAATTAGCATGCCAGAGATTTCAGTTTTATAAAGTAGCTAGCTATTACAAGAGTTTGATTATGT